AGTTTTGCTTGTGTTCAGTACCGAGGTGTTCATTTTGCTTGTATTCGGTATTGAGGTGAATATATAGAGCTGCCTTAACTGAGTCAGAGTGTTGTTACATGCTTTCCTATTCTGACTGACAACAGCTCTTCATCCAAGGCCCCAAGCCAAAGCCTTTCCCAACTCTGTTAATGGCAGATTCCAAAGACTGAGCCTATCACCTTACGTATGCTAAGCAGGTTCTCTGCCAATGAGCTGCCTTCCTGGCTCTGTAGCAGAGGTGTATCATACAAAAGTTCTCAACTGTCCTTTGCATGATAGTTTTATGGGAACACGGTGATTGCTTTATCTTTCATTGTAGCTGCCCACTACCACCAAACCATATTGTTTTAATAACTGTGGACACGTCCAGAGTGTAAAGCAATGGAGCCTGAGGCATGTGGCGCAATTGGGCTCTCAAAGCTTCCAGATGTGAGCTTGATTTTTCTTCCCTTGCATATAAAACCACTTTTCGTCTCATGAAGACAATGGACTGAGGCCAACTATATTATGCCCCAGGCATCAACTTAGCCAGTACTCTCTGTTGCATGGATCTATTACACTTGATTAGATTTACAGAATATAAATGACTTATTTCCCCCCTTGTGGACATGCGTTGTCTGTTCTTTAATGTTTTCAGACTATTTACCTTTTTTTTTTAAAAAAAAAAAACAAGGCAGGCTATCCTTATATTGAGGGAAAACCAATTAAACCAGAATAGCTGAGTTTACGTATTTTATGTACCTTGTTTCAGTCTCCCCTTGTTTCCTCGCACTCGTCCTGGATTTAAGACTTCTGCGCTGTCACTTGCTGTGCCTTGAACTCCTTTGTTCTTTCTTTCATACAAACCAAGAAGCTATTGTCTTTTCAGTATTTCTTCATCCTTTTTCTGCTGATTGCTCCCAGGTAGCCTAGTAAATCTTGCCCCCATCCCACTCTTATCTTCACAGTGCCATTGCTTAACTCTTTGCTCCCCTCTTCCTCTGAGCCCTGTTCATTTCACAAGGGCCCCCAGCTCATGCACTTAAAAATCCAGTGATCTCTCCACCATATACAAATGAAATGCCTACGGTAGGCATTCCATGCCCAATTCATACAACGTTCCTATACCGTGGTACCTTTTGCAAGAGAAAAAAAAAATTACACAAAGTATGCCTTCACATGAAATATGTTCACCTCACTCTTTTTGTATGTGTGGTGGAATGGAGGGGCATGTTCATTCCTGTTCCTTGAAAGCCTGATTATAGATCTGCTTCCAAACTTGACTGCAGAGTGTGGATCAAGAAATCTGCACAATAAGGAGATGTTGGAGTTTGCAGAAAAATCCAAAAAGGTTTAATTTAAAAAAAAAAACTCCACAGACTTTTAAAAACGCTGCTAGAGATCTTACACAACTAGGTTATGAGATCAAGGTCAATATTACGGGGTTGCCAGAGCAAATGAGAAGGAGGAAAGAGGGAAAGTGCAAACAGCGATAAGAGGACCTGTAGGAACGGAGGAAAAGAAATTTCTGCTCCCCTGTGAGTTCCCCCACTTGCAAGTGCATAAACATGGCCCTAGAATTGGTTTTGCTTCCGTTTGAATAGTGGCTAAAGTGCATTCACTGCTCTTTAAAAGGTACAGATGTGTCAGAATTTTTTCAGTTAAGTGGTACGTAGCATTTGAAGAGCCAATGTAAATACAGGCAGCACCATTTTCCAGCTGCAAAAGAGATATTGGCAGTTTATTATTTTTCCATTACTATACATTAAAATGACCACATATATTTCTCTTTGTCATCTCCACCTAGGCTGGAACTCAGATAAGCCTGGCAGACCTGTCGTTTTCAAAAGAGACGTCTACTCTGTGGTATAACTTGCTGGCTTGCAAGCAGGTTCCTGGCAAAAAGGACAAGGGGCCAAAGGAGGATCCTGTATTTGTCCCTGTCACTCAGTTACCAGGCTCTTTGGACTTGGTGAGCAGCCTACGGTGACTTCTGTGAAATAATTTCACTACCTAGTAATGTGCTCCTTTGTGCCATTCTTATTAGTTGAATGCCAAGTGAAGGTGTCATGTGGGGCGAGGTATCATAAGAACACAAGAACTTAAGAAAAGCCAATGTTGGATCAGGCCAATGGCCCATCTAGTCCAACACTCTGTCACACAGTGGCCAAAAATACCAGGTGCCATCAGGAGGCCCACCAGTGGGGCCAGGACACTAGAAGCCCTCCCACTGTTGCCCCCTCCCCCCAAGCACCAAGAATACAGAGCATCACTTGCCCCAGCCTGAGGGTTCCTATCTATACCTTGTGGCAGGGGTCGTTTCGTAGAAAAAGAGCTAGGGGGACTCATTAGCATAACTCATTAGCATATCGTTAGCATATGCCACACCCCCTGACATCACCGGAAGTGTGTCATAAGGCCGCACACCCCACCCCCAACGGTCCCGACCGCCGCCGGCCTTGCAGCTCCACTGCCGAACCCCATGAGGGGCCCGGCGGTGGACCTGCAAGGCCACCAGGAGTGCAAGGAAGTCCCGCGAAGGCCCTCCCTGGCCCCAGAGAGGCAGGGAGGAAGCAACTTACCTTCCCTCTTCTCCTGCCTCCTCCTGGCTGAATGAGGGCCAGAAGCAGGGCAGCCGGAAGCAGGGGGCGGGGCTTCGTCATGTGCCCTGCCCCCCATACCTCACCCGGGGGAACTGCGATCCCCCGCGATCCCCCCCCGAAATGACCTCTGCCTTGTGGCTAATAGCCACTGATGGACCTTTGCTCCATATGCTTATCTAATTCCCTCTTGAAGCTGTCCATGCTTGTAGCCGCCACCACCTCCTGTGGCAGTGAATTCCATGTGTTAATCACTCTTTGGGTGAAGAAGTACTTCCTTTTATCTGTTCTGACCCAACTGCTTTTAGTGTGACTATTATCTCAGTGAGAGTTGAGTTTTGTTTTACATCAGGAAACATTTAATCATTCAGTTCTCCCACATGCATTCTGTGTTTGTCTTTGCGTCCTTATTTTCAAGTACAAAGTATATATTAATAATATAAGTTCCAAATGGATTACATTTGTGTAAACTGCTGTTTTTTCCAGTGGGAACCTTGTCTTTTCTAGGCTGCAAATGGTGTGTTTGTTTCTACTGTGTTTACGTTTGTTTTAAAATCTTGTGGTACTTTTATAGCAAAGTACAATTTTTTTAAAGAAATGAAGCAACTTTGCTTTTGAACTTCCCGTGTGATATCTGAGGTGATAGCAGTCACATAGGAAGATCATGCCACCTCAGGCACTGAATATTTGAATCAGCTCTGCCATGGGTCATAACACTATTTTGTTAATATTAGTGTGCTTCAGCAAATGTTTTCACAATAAATTTAATCCCAAATGTAGACCTCAGTATAGCACACTAGTCTGGCACTGTTCTTTAAGCATGCTTTGTCACTATTCACAAATATTGCGGAATAGGCTTTATCAATGGTATCTGTCCCTTCTCTGTTAAAAAAAAAAACCCACACGAGTCTACCGTAACATTTAGCACTGCTTTCAAATCTCTGTTAGGATGCCGTGTCAGCCTTACTAGAAAGAACTTCAGCCGAACTGGAAGCAGTAGAGCAAGAGTTGGCGGAAGAGGAGGAAGAAGAGGAGGAAGAAAAGGAAGTGCAGGAGTCACAGAGTGCTGAGCAAGAATGGTAAACTGTGGCTTTATGGTTAATCTGAGGTACAAAAACAGTATTTCATACCACAAAACATAGTGAAACAGACCACTGAAATAACCCTCTGCTTGTCATCAGGTACTAAATAGAATAAAAAAGAACTGAATGCTTTGTGCACATTGGGAAGTGTGGCTTGGAGATCTTCTATTACTACAATTGATCTCCAGTCAACAGAAATCACTTCGCCTGGAGAAAATGGCTGCTTTGGAGGGTGGCCTCTAGGCTTGCCAAGTCCCCCCGGGGGACGGGGAAACCCCCGCCCCAGAGGCCCGTTCCCCACCGCTGGCGGATCAGGCCCCAGGGGGAACCCCACCCCCAAAGCACGGGACGTGCCCGGCATCAGCACATCACCCGGAAGTGACGCAGCTACACTGGGCGTGCTAGGGGCGGGGCCATGGTCATCCGAGGGAAAACTATGTTTTTCCCTCGGATGACCGCTGCCCTGCCCCTGGCGCGGCCGCATCACTTCTGGGTGATGTGCTCGCAACGCACGCGTGCGCTCCTGGAGGAAGCCGGGAGTCCCCCGCTGAGGCTTAATTACGACTTGGCAACCCTAGTGGCCTCTATGGCATTGCACCCTGATGAGGTCCCTCCCCTCCCCAAGCCTCGCCATCCCCAGACTCTACCCCCAAAATCTCCAGGTATTTCTCCACCCAGAGCTGGCAGCTCTAATCACGCATGTTTCAGTTGCAGCAATTCCTTGCTGCAGTTTCCCCCACTGCTGAAGAGACAAGCCATTAAAAAAAAAAAAAGTTGTTCATCTCTTCAGTGGTGGGGACTGTTGTAAGAGATCAATGAATAAAGCATCAATTGCAGAAACAGTTCACCCTTCATAGTGCACATCACTCCCTGAACCAGCATAATATAGTGGTTAAGAGCAGCGGCCTCTAATCTGAAGAACTGAGTTTATTCCCTACTGCTGGGTGATCTTGGGCCAATCACAGTTCTTTCAGAACTCTCTCAGCCCCACCTACTTCATAAGGTCACTGTTGTGGGGAGTGGAAGGGAAAGTGGTTGTAAGCTGCTTTGAGACTCCTTACAGTAGAGAAAAGCAGGGTATAAAAACCAACTCTTCTTCTTCTTGGGTTATAATAAATATAGAGTCTTAATAACTGGTAGGGGTGTGCACTCAGTATATATAGAGCTGAATAAATACCCAAAAAATATCTTATCTGCATTTTTCGAGTATTCATTCAGCAAAATACAGATCTGTACTCTGCTACCAAAATAGCCCCGCCCAAATAAAAGCCAATTTTATTCAGTCCCCATAGGGTATAATGGAGCCGAATAACTTCAGCAATCCCGATTATTTCCTGAATCCCAATATCATACCCATATTGGGGTTTTGGAAATATCAGGAAATACCAATATTTTTCAGGTTCAGTACACCCGAAACCAAAAAATACTGATTTTTTTCTCACATCCCTAATAACTGGTCTCTTTTTAGAGATACTGTCTTGTATGAATTTCCCTCCCTATATTAAGACTGCATGTGGAAATGTTTGGATATTTTTCTCAGGTCTTCCTGCTATGTGCCACAATTCCACCCTAACCCCCACCCCACTTCCTAGTTGGAGGCAAACTTTAGTTTGCCATAACATCTAAACTAGCAAAACTGTGAGTGTGTGCTTGCCTTTCATTCATGCTTTGCAATTCTGGTTTGGAGAGAAGATGCAGACCATCTCAGATTTAATTTATGGTTTTTGTTCAAACAGCAAGGGAAGGATGGAATTGCAGCAAATGAGACAAGGGAGCACACAGTAGCAACGCTGATGCTGGGTTTGTTCACATACAGCCAAATCATGGGGTCAACCCCAGCATTAGTATCTGCTGGCAGAACAGATTTCCATCAGTGGAATGGACCTTTTCTCACCTCTCCTGTCCTGCTACAGCCTAAATGCTTCCCAAACTGTTACTCCTGGTCCCCCAAGAATAGCATAAAGGCTGAGTTAGAGACCTGCAGTAGAGGCGGAGAATCAATGAAAATCTATCTTCCCTTTCTATTAGCAAAAATCCGCTGCTGGATCCAACCTACACATTTATATTTGAATCGAGTTATACTCTTGGTATACCGACTGAGAATACAGTATAAATTAGTCTGTATTTGCTAATATGTGTTAACACTCTGAAAAGGAAACATGATGCATAACCGTGTGCAGAAGTCCCAAGTACTGTGTTTATATCAAAATGCCCCAGAGGAGGCAATTTGAAACAGAATGTCATGTTTTCCTTGGAGAGGATAACAAATATAATACATTCATATGGCGGAGGTTGGGGGGATCGGTGAAATTCTAATCTAGTTGATGCCAAGATAACATGCCCACGATAACACATATTTTTGCACAGAGTTCAGCTTCCAGCCAGGCTAGCAACGTCCTCTTTTGCAGGTCTTGCTGGTTCAAGGGTAAACTTGAGGTTTGTTTGGTTTTTCCCCCCTCACAGGCTAGGAGTGCTGGCAGAGACATCTAGCAAGAGTGTGACTGAAGAAGAGGACCACGTGGAAGGAGTGGAGGGAGGTGCCTATGCAGAAGATGACAGCTTCTGCTCCCAATTGGTAGAAGCAAATGAAGTCAAGGAGGAAGAAGACGGTGGCCCTGCAGATGTGTGTTGCAATGTGCTAGCAACGGTATCACCCACGCTGGTGAATATTTTAGATTATGTTTCCCTAAAGCACTATGAGGACAGCTCCATAAGCCCCTAGCTGTTCCAGGCCCATCAGGGGTGTGTGTTTAAGTTTAAAGTTTGTCATAAGGAGTTTGTTTATAACGTTCGGTATCGTTAATAAATACAGAGGAGGCCTTTAAAATCTCCACTGTTTTATAACAGGGTTCCACTTTTTCTTTGATATACAATAAAAGGAAGAGCCCGAACTCCATAAGAAAAGCATTCAGCTTTGCTAGTTAACATTTAATGTTTATTTGGTAGATTATTCATGTTTAATAATGAATGTATTAAATATTTAATAGGTTATTTAATATTTAAGCTATACTTGCATACACGTATGGTAGAATTTTTTTTTGTTCTTGCATTGCTTATGAAGTTTTAACAGCAAGGGCTCGGTTCTTTAGGGTAATGTAGGTAAATTGCATGTATGCACACATATACAGACACACGAGCTAGCCTAGAAATATAACCAGCTGTGAGTGGTGTCAAATCGCCTTCCTGCTGGCCCTGCACTCTCTTCTGCTGGCCAAGCAATGGCCTGATCTGTTCAGACATCCCAGTGAGCCCTTGCTACTCTTGCCCAGGAATTAGTCAGCTTTCCTGGTTTTATTTATTTATTATTTATTTAAAATATTTATTAGCAGCCTTTCTACCTTGTGGAACTCAAGGCGGCTTACAATGTAAATGAAACAATTCTAAAAAAAACATTAAAAAACCACAATTTAAAATCTCAAGGCTTCCAATAAATTAAATTAGTCAAATACAGTCCTAAATAAAACTGTCTTCACTGCCTCCTGAAGATCGAAAGTGAAGGGGCCAGGCACATCTTCCTAGGAGGCTGTTCCAGCATTTCGGGCTGCCACTGAAAAGTTCCTCTCTCATGTGCACACCAGACAAGCTTCTTCGATTGGTGAGACAGCCGAAAGGGCCTCTCCTTGTGACCTTAATGCCCAGTCAGGAACATATGGGAGAAAAATGGTCCTTCTGATATGTCAGTTCCAGGCCATGCAGGGCTTTAGAGGACAAAGCCAACACCTTGAATTGGGTTTGGGAGCAGATCAGTAGCCAGTATAATTCTCTAGTATTAGTGTCATAGTGGTCGGCATTTCTGGGCTCACCTGAATGTTGGGCAGTCACAGCAGGCTGGATGGGAACCAAGAATCCCATCACCAGGCGCACAACACATGAGCCCGGAGAACAGTGCAAGTATCTCCTTTATTATCCTGATGGCTGTGAACTCCAGTCAACCAACTGCTGTTCCAATGTGGCAATTCCTTCTTTCTCTTCTGGCCTCCCAATGAGTGCCACATCATGGCTTCTAAGGCCCACCCCAGCATTTGGCTTCTCCCTTTGTAGCCTAGTTCCCAAGTGCCTGCAGACCCACTCTGATCCCTCATGCCCTCTCCTTTCAGGGCCATTGAGGCTATTATCCAGCCCTGCCCTATGGAATGCATGTGGGGTCAGATTCTTCCCACTGGAATGTCTTATCCTGGGAGCCCTTGTCCTGGGAACCCTCACACCTTGTACTGGGGAGATATCTGGGCCAATGAGCCTGGGATCCTGGTCCCACCGAGCCCCATCTGGTCCTCCTGCCACAATCAGGGTCACATGCTCCCCGTAGCTGGCTAGCAGTAGTTGAAGCTTCTAAACACTGTTCAAGGGGAGCCCCAAGCAGAGCTCATTGCAATAGTCCAGTGGTTTTGGGCATGCAAGGACATCCTGTAAAATCTCATGCTCTTATGCAGTTTTATCCCAAGATGTGGTAGACTATTCAACCATCCAGTTTAGTTTAGCAGCAGTTGTCAAGATTGAACCATTTCCCCATCTTGAGAGGTCAAACATCCAACTGAGGCCTCTTGTGGTTCAAGTATTACACATTCAGACCGAGAGGCAGATTTGCCAGGGCGCAACCCTGACATGTCACTGGAATAGATCCTTCGTTATCCATCTCCTTAGGAGCAAATCTATATTCTACAGCCTCAGGAACTTCCCTCAAAGTCCGACATACTCCTGTTGTGGTGATGTACCCAGAAAACTTTGAGACTGACAAAATGGCTATCTTGCCAGCAGTTCTCTCTCCAGAACTCAGTAACAGCCCTCTACTCAGGTTCTTACAAGGCCTCCAAGCAAGACCCACAGGCTAAGAGCCACGGGGCAACAGCCCTTTGGCAAGGAGCAGCCTTTTGTTTCAAAAGGCCCCTTCCTGTCCAGCACAGCAGAGCCCAGCACAATAGGGGGCGGGGACTTGCAATCAACAGCACTCCACAGCAACTCACTCAGCCTCCAACAACCCCCAAATCACAAACAGCCCCAAACAGACTTAAACAGAACCACTTTCTATCAGGCTACAAAGAACCCAACTCTCTCTCAGCTCCCACACAGCAGCTAGGAAGGCAAAGGGAGAAAGAAAAATCCCTTACCTTCTATCAGCAACTCACCACATGCTCTCCACTCCTTGCCTCAGCCCAGCTGACTCAGCTCTGCCTCTGACGAGGAGCAGCCTTTTGTTTCAAAAGGCCCCTTCCTGCCCAGTTCAGTAGAGCCCAGCACAACAGGGGGCGAGGCTTGCAATAAACAGCACTCCACAGCAACTCACTCAGCCTCCAACAACCTCCAAATCACAAACAGCCCCAAACAGACTTAAACAGAACCACTCTCTATCAGGCTACAAAGAACCCAACTCTCTTTCAGCTCCCACACAGCAGCTAGGAAGGCAAAGGGAGAAAGAAAAATCCCTTACCTTCTATCAGCAACTCACCATGTGCTCTCCACTCTTTGCCTCAGCCCAGCTCACTTCCCACCTTTTTCCCACCCCCATCATCTGCAGCTGAAAGACAGCTACACACATTAGATGTAAAACATGCCCTATATTTTATTTAAAGAGAACAAGTGAATTCAGAAAAGGTTTCTCCAATGGTTTCTCTGCTTTGCTGGCCCCTCGAAGGGAAAACCTGAACAGGCTCAGATGGTGTGTAGGCAGGGCTGGCCCGAGGCAAGGCTGCGCCCTAGGCGAGGCTGCAGATGCCAACCTTCTGGTGGGGCCTGGAGACCGCCCCACTGGGAACCCAGTGGGAGGCCCTGGATGGGGGTGCTGAAGTTCGCCTCCCCCCACCAAATGCCAGCACCGATCCCCGAGGCTCCCCTCCGTGTCCCTCCACGTCCTTCCCGCCTGCCTGGACCCTCTCCAGTGACCCATGGCCGGCGGGGAAAGGCACCGGCAGAGCAGGCGCATGAAGAGGGGAGCCCGCGCCAGGGCTGCGCTTGCCGCTGCCTGCCGGGGGAGCCAAGGCTGCCAGAGCTGCTGCAGGCACCGCCAGGCAGGAGGTAAGCGCGCCCTGCTGCCGGTGCCTGAGCCAGCCAGCCTTCCGCCCTGGGACCGCACAGCCCTTTACCCCCCTCGCCCACCTACCTCCTCCCGCCATGGGCACTCGGGTGGCAGCAACGGCGGCAGCTAAGGAGTGCTGCCAAGAGGGGGTAAAGGGCCGCGTGGTCCCGGGGCGTGCTGAAGCGGAGGGCTGGCTGGCACCGGCAGAAAGAACGCGCCGCAGCCTCAAGTTTGCGCACTGAGGGGGGGGGAGGATTGTGTGAATCAGACTGATTCACACAATCCTCTCCCCCCCCAGTGCGCAAACTTGAGGCCGCGGCGCTTTCTTTCTACCGGTGCCTGAGCCAGCCAGCCAGCTCTCCTAAAAAGCAATCTCCATCTAGCAAACCTTAGACCTAACTAACAATTTTAAACAATCAGTAGAATTTTTTTTTTTAAGGAAACTCAAGCGTGGCCCCGGCGCAGGCTCCCCTCTTCATGCGCCCGCTCTGCCGGCGCCTTTCCCCACTGGCCATGGGTTGCTGGAGAGGGTCCGGGCAGGCGGGAAGGACGCGGAGGGGAGCCTCGGGGATCGGCGCTGGCTTTTGGAGGGGGGAGGCAAACTTCGGCGCCCCCATCCAGGGCCTCCCGCTCTAAGCGAGTGCCTAGTTGGCCTAGCAGGAGAGCTGGCCCTGTGTCTAGGTGGATTGTCTCTACTAGCAAGAGAGCCTACGAACTGGCATTGGTGCAGTGTCCTTTACAGATATGAGCATACTTCCTGAGGGCTTGAGCGACATCCGCTTCCTTTCAACAAGGCATCCCATTGGCTGACATTTGCAGGGCAGCAACCTGGTCGTCTGCATACACTTTTGTTAAGCACTATTCTGTGAAGGTTAATACAAGAAGGGAGATGTCAGTAGGGACAGCAGTTCTACATTTGATCTTCCAGTAAAGCGCTCACCCCACTGCTTGATAAGCCAGCTGACTAGTCTCCCATGTGGGACTGCACAGAACAGCGATGATGAAAACAGTGTTGCACTTACCTGTAACTGTTGTTCATCTAGTTGTCTCTGTGCAGGCATGCATCCCTCCCTCCTACCCTGCTGTGAGCTCCTTGACTCTCTATTTGTTGCCTCATAGCGACCGCCAAGGAGAACTGAGGGAGGGAGAAGGGCCCCTCCCCAGAGCACACGACCGTTAGGCGGGAAAACAGGCTGAATGGCTCTGATTGGGAGGGGGGCCTCCTGCTCTGTTACTAGGCTAGTTAAAAAATCTTTAGGTGGCTGCCCTGTGTGCCTGCACAGTCCCATGTGTGCCTGCACAGAGACAACTAGATGAACAACAAGTACAGATAAGTGCAACACTTGTCTCTACAGAGAGGCAGGCAGTGACAAACTACCTCTGAACACCTCTTGCCTTGAAAACGCTAAGTTGGCACTTTCCACCATGACCTCGGCACGCACAAAGAGGGGGTTTAGCCTTCCCCCTCCATGCTGTTTTCCCAAGCTGCTGGGACTGCACTTGTACTGATGAGCTACACATTATGTTTCCCCGGTGGAGCAAATAGCCCCGCCGGGGTCATTTCAGGTTAAGGAAATGGCCCAGGGGGATGGGCTAAGCCCCCTCTTGCTGTGAGCCATGGTTCCAAACTGAATTGAACCCCTGTCGTCAGGGAAGTGTGGAACTTCAGACTATGCCTCCCCACCCAGCCCATGGACGTCCATGGGGAAAACCTAACATGTAGGCAGGCACTGAACCTCATAGCTGAGTGGAGATTTGAACCTGGACCATCATAGTCTGAAACTGTACCCGCTATAATTCACTGCCTCTTGGTAGCTCTCCTAAAAAGCAATCTCCATCTAGCAAACCTTAGACCTAAGTAACAATTTTAAACGATCAGTAGGACTCGGGCTTTCTACATCCTTACATCCTCCAGAGTTTTGTTTGTTTGTGTGTTTTGCACTGGCAAAATCAGAAATGTTGAAGTAGGTAGGAAGTTTTAGTAACTTAAAAGGCGTGCAATCCTACTTTTAAGCGTGCCTGCATGTTCTCATAAGTGGGAAAGCAAGGGCGTTTGAATTACTTATGCCCGCTCTTAACTGGTTTGTGACAAGCTGGAATGAAAATCAAGCTTGAGGGGCCGCTAAGGGTTTGAGTGTTTTTTTAGTTTAAAAAAAATGTACATGACTCCTCAACAGGTCGACAAAGAAACTAACACAGAGGGTGAGAGTGTGGTTGTCCGGCCCAAGGACAGAGCCAGCCTGAAGTCTCAGCAGCAGCATCCCTTTGTCAGGAACAGCATGATAGTCCGCTCACAAACCTTCTCTCCAGGCGAGCGGAACCAGTACATCTGTAGGGTAAGATAAAGAGCGTTCTCCGCAAGGTCCTATTATCTAAAGACTCATTTAACTTCTTTGGCAATGGCACATTGCAGGCAGAGTCATATACTGGGAAACCCATCTGTCACTGCTAAAGAGTGGTAAATTGCCGTTTTCACCTAAGATAGCATGTGGAAATGGTACATGACAAATCCTTTCGCAAAATGCTGTTTATATGCTGGAATTTACTCCTTTGCAGTGAGCTTGTATAAGCAGGAGGCTGTTTGAATTCCCTAAATTAATTTGGGCCTTTGATCTCAAAATGTTCTAGTAAAACTGTTCATAAGCGACATGTTGCTTCTCTGCGATTTCTAGCCATGTATAATTTTTAGATTAACATATGTGGTGTGAAAATGGCACTTCCTGCGATGGTACTTCTCAGAACTGTCTTTTCTGGAAGGAGTGTCACACAGCCACTGCCGCAGAGCAATTTCTTTTACTGTCCTTAA